CAAGCAGACTGGAACAGCTACAGTGACAGAAGATACATCTTCATGATGAACCTGACCTATACTCAGAGCGGTAGTTACTCTAAATACCAACAGAGTGGGAAAGAGTCATCACATCAAGTATCAATGCTATCCCCTCTGTACACAGGGTAGATAGGGACAGGCAACTTGGACATTGGCTATCTAAAATGAGGGGGTAATAAATGCACAAAGTGACTGGCTTACAAGGTTTCAAGAAGGAGTTTAGTTTAACAGTATGGGGAAAGAAAGAGTCCCCATTGATCTTGTCTAGATGGGTCTGGTGAAAAGAGATGGGGATAAGATTCATAAGATTCAATAGTGAATAATCATGACTAATCGCGACTGTCACAATTGTAAAGGTGGAAGTTTTGTAACAAAAAAACCAGGAGTGATTAATCTTACAGTCCAGAAACGGAGGACCCTGGGACCATCAAGAGAGAAACGCACAAGCAGAATGTGGGACCTTATCCAGAGAAGCAGCAGCACCAGAGATGGAGGCAGAGATCAGGGCATGGAGAGGCGCTGTGGCTCAGAAATCTAGATTCATGGACTAAGAAGAGAGGGACTAAGAGCTGGTGGTCAGGAGGCAGACTTGCAGAATGTGCTCTTTGGAGATGTAAATTATTATATATGCCTGAGTGGGTTTTGTTTGTTTGTTTGTTTTTTAAAAAGCTAAAGTGGATAGAGAGAAATACTGTTAACTGATGGTACATGGAGGGAATTATAATCATTGTAACGAAACAAGGTGTATGACTTGTTGAATGTAAAACTGATGACATGCCCTGTAATCTTTCACTCAATCCACAATAAAAACCTTAAAAAAAAAAAAAAAAAAATGAGGTTATCAAGACATTCCCAAACAAATAGAAGCTCTGGGAATTTGCCACTGAGGCGCTATAGGTTAATGCGCCAGACTTTAAAGCTGTTTGAACTGCAAGGTCGGCAGTTCAAACTCACCAACTGTTCCTTGGAAACCCTATACAGGGTCTCTATGGGTTGGAATTGACTCGACGGCACTTGACAACAACAACAACAACAGATCAACTCTAAAGGAGCTCTGGTAGTGTAATGGTTACAAATTGGGCTGCGAACCTCAAGGTCAGCAGTTGAAAACTACCAGCTGTTCCATGGGAGAAAGATAAGGCTTTCTGCTCCCATAAAGATTGACAGCCTTGCTATGAGTTGGAACCGACTCCACAGCACATAACAACAACAACAAAAACAAGATCAACTTTAAGCAAGGGTAATGTAACTTCATCTTATGTACTTTAGACATGTCATCAGAAGAGACTAGCCTCTGGGGAAACACATTGTGTTTGGTACAGTAGAAAATCAATGAAAAGGGGGATTATTCCCAATGAGATGGACTGACATAATTGCTGCAACAACGGACTCAAACACAGGGATGATTGTGAGGATCTGGCAGGACCAGGCAGTGCTTCATTGTACTGTATATAAGGATACTATGAGTCAGAACTGACTCAATGGGGCCTAATAACAAAAGACTAAATGATACCTACAAAAATGGAGAGATATCCCATGTTCATGGATTTGAAAGCTTACTGTATTAAAAAAATAATAATAATATGTGCATAAAAAAAAAGCAGAGAATGCCCAAAAGATATTTACTTGTGCTTTACTTATTATGCAAAAGCTTTTGATTATGTGGATCATGACAAGCTGTAAATAACATTGCAAAGAATGGGTATTCCAGAACATTTGATTGTGCTCATTAGGAACCTAGACATAGACCAAGAGACAGTCATTAAAACAAAACATGGGATACTGAATGGTTTAAAATCAGCAAAGGTGTGCATCATAGCTGTACCCTTTCATCATAATTATTCAATCTGTATACTGAGCAAATAATAGAAGAAGCTGGATTATATGACAAACAGTGTGGCATCAGGATTCGAGGAAGACTCATTACACAACTTGCAATATGCAGATGATACAACCTTGCTTGCTGAAATACTTTGATGAAGATCATAGCCTTCAGTATGGATTGTACCTCAATGTAAAGAAAACAAAAATCCTCACAACTGGACCAATAAATAACATCATGATGAATTCAGAAGACTGAAGTTGCCAGGCTCCATTTTGCTTGGATTCACTATCAAAAGTCATTAAAACAGTAGTTAAGATATCAAATGACATGTTGCATTAGGTCAATCTGCTGCAAAAGACCTCTGAAGTGTTCAAAAGCAAAGATATCAGTTTGAGCCTAACTCAAGGCTTAGTATTTTCAATTGCTTCATATGCATGTAAAAGGGAAGACCACAGAATATCGAAGCATTTGAATTACAATGTTGGAGAAAATTACAAGTACCATGGACTGCCAGAAGAACAAACAAATCTGTATTGGAAGAAATAAAACCCGAATGCTCCTTAGAAGCAAGGATGGCAAGACTTTATCTCTCATACTTTGGATGTATTATCAGGAGAGACCAGTCCCTGGATAAGTACATTACACTTGGTAAAGTGGAGGGTCAGCAAAAAATAGGAAGACCTCCAATGAGAAGGACTGACACTGTGGCAGCAGCAATGAGATCAAGTGTAACAACAATTGTGAGGATGGCACACAACCACAACGGGGCAGTATTTTATTCTGTTATACATAGGATTACTATGAGTGGGAACCAACTTGGCAGCACCTAACAACAACAACCCTTACAATTCTGGTCATGGTATGTGATCATTTATCAACAACACATTGTTGAAACACAAGAGGTTTTTTTTTTTTTGTTGTTGTTGTTATTGTTTTTAATTTACAGGAAAATAACATGAGAGTTTGATAGATGCCACACACTGTCACACACATAATGTTTCTTCTTTACAATCCTGTGAGGCAGTTGTTACACTGGGCTAACAAACAAAGAAATGGAGCCTTAAAGATAAATTCCATCCCAAGAAACACTAAGAGGCAACACTGCAATCTAAACACAAGTTTCTGTTGTTTTTACTTCTATGCTGCTTATAGATACAGTTTCATAATGCCTTTTACCCCCTCTAGACCAGATAGGACATATTGTCAGGAGGGACAAGTCACTGGAGAAGGATATCACAGGGTCAGAGAAAAAGAGGAAGACCCCCAATGAGATGTACTGGCAAGTGGCAGCATCGATGGACTCAACTGTGGCAACAGTAGTGAGGTTGGCACAGGATCGGGCAGTGTCTCCTTCTGTTGTGCCTAAGGTTGCTATGAGTCAGTACCGACTCAAAGGCACCTAACAACAAGTCCAGACAGATTTGAGATTCAAAAATTACCAGATAACTAGGTATTTTTCAAAGTCAATGTCATAATCTAGTGAAGATACCAAAAATTCAGTATGCCAGGATCAATTCTTACTCTATCATTAGTAGTGAGGTACATTAAAAGGTTATTTCCTTTTCTCAGTAATTTGTGGTTAAAAGTAAAACTACTATGTTTAACCACAGAGCTTTCGATTCATTTCTGAAAAAAGTATTCTGAGCTTTTATAGAAAAAAATTATACTAAAAAAAAATCTGCAACAGACTATATTCGTTTGTGGCAATCTCAAGTTTTTTACCAGGAAAGAAATCAACCATTAGAGGCTCATGACATTGAAATTAAGTCTTAAACATTTTTAAAGGGCTTCAGTAGGCAATGATTACTTACCCACTCTGGATTCTGAATGGCAGTTTTCTTCTTGCTTTCTAACAAGAGCATCTATCACTGCTTTTGCTTTGGTCTGCCTTACCTTGCTTCCAAAAATTTTTACTTCTGCTTCATGGTATCCTTTCATTATCTAGACAGAAGGGGGAAATGATTGAATGTGAAGTCCCCTTACCTTCCTCCCCTAGCAATAACTCAATTGCAAATAGTATATAACAGCATAAAGAGTATAAAAGTAAACATAACATTGCTATAAATCAACACCTAAATTTCTGATTTTTGAGGTAGAAGATATTTATATTCACTCTGGGATTTATCTTATGATTGAATGGGAAAAGAATAGGACAATCTGGAAATTAAAAAACTACTATACTAGCTAGGGAGCACTGTGGCTCTGTAGGATAAGCACTGGACTGCTATTCACAAGGTTGGAAGTTTGAGTCCACCAACTGCTCTGCAAGAGAAAGATGAGGCTTTCTGCTCCCGCAGGGATTTACAGCCTAGGAAATCCTACACAGGGTTGCTATGAGTCAAAACTGACAAGATGGAACTTAACAACATACCAGCTAGGGAATAAATTCAAGAAGTAATGATAAATGGAAAAGTAAGGTGTTAATCTGGAATGTGGTATCAATTACTTTGAATCTGAATTCACTCATGTATGAAATAGTAGCAATGCATATTTGGCTAATTGTACAGAATTGTAGAGGGCAAAAAATTACCCTATGTGCTATTTACATAAGAGCTTATTGAACTGTCAGGCTATGTAAATGAAGTTATAATTTTAAGGGATACCAACATACATTGAAGTCAAACCTACAAGGCTGACACAATCAAATTTAAAGATGGAATCTATAAGCTACATCTTTAAGTGTGTATAAATGGAAACATTTATGCACCAGATGATATCTTAGTCTGGTGATTCAAACAAAGCTTATTGTCTGTAGGATTCAGAGACACAACACTGTATAAATGCTAAAATGGGAAAATTATGAGGCGCTGAGAGGTCAGATAAGGGACACCTAGCTCAGGAGGGGAGGAAAAGGTCTTAGATTTCCATAAGAAAGTAAGTTCCCCTTAAAAATGAGTAGGAATTAATCCCCTGGGGCAAAGGATAGGCAATCAGAAAACAGTTCAAGAGGGAGTAGGGAGATGGGAGTTCGGGGAGAAGAGGTTGGAGAGGCATACATGCCAGAAGGAATGAACCATGTCAGGAAATCTTGACTTCTGAAGAGCCTGAAAAGCCATGAATGGTTTTTAATGTAGGAGAGGGATATGATCACATATCTCTGTGTTAGAAAGACTGCTTTAGTCACTGGAGAACAGCTAGCAATACAAGACTAGAAGGAAGGCAGTTAGGGGAGGCTGCCCTGAGAAGTACAAGAAATAAAAAGGAATTGGTTGTTATTGTTGCTCTGACTCAAAGTAACCCCTGAACGGCAGAGCAAAACACTGCCTGGACCTGAGCCATCCTTACAGTTGTCATGTTTGAGACCACTGTTGCTGCCACTGTGTCAATCCATCTTGTTGAGGATTTTCTCGTTTTTGCTGACCCTCTATTTTACCATGCTTTATGGCCTTATCCCTCCTGATAACGTGTCCAAAGCACATGAGATAAAGTCTCACCATCTTTACTGCTAAGTGACATTCTGGTTTTACTTCTTCCAAGACAGATTTGTCGCTCTTCTGACAATAGTCTTCACCAGAACTCAATACACTTCACTAACACCACAATTCAAATGTATCATTCCTTCTCTAGTCTCTCTTATTTACTGTCCAGCTTGCATATGTGTGAGGCAAGTGAAAATGTCAAGGCTTAGACCAGGCACACCTTAGTCCTCAAAGTGGTATCTTTGTTCTTTAACACTTCAAAGAGGTTGCAGGATACAGAGAGGAAGTGCCATTGAGATATTTAGATCTAGAACTTGGTTAATGATGTCATTCACTGAGACTAGGAACACAGGAATCAGTCAAGGTTTGAAGGAAAAGAGTTGGGAAAAGTGCTGTTTGGACGTGGATATTATCTTTACCTCTAAGGGTCACCTAGACTTAGAAGAGACCACAGCTTAGGTGAGTTCTTGAAAAGAATGGCCATCTAATGCATCTTGGTCATTTATCTAGGTTATCATACTATGTCAATAAATGAATAGAAACTAGAAGTAGGTCCTGGTTGCTGACTGAGTCTCATGCTGGGTTAGAAAAAAAACTATGCCCGTTTAAGGTTTAAGTACATGTATCACTTAAATTACTTACATGTATTTTGGTGTTTGTTGTACTTTGGATGTCCCTTACTTTTGAACCACCACGACCTGTTTTTAAAAATACAACAATATATGACTATAAATGAAAATTAATAAAAGAAATTTACCTACTTGCCTCAAAGAACTTGTCTAACATCTCCTCAGATCATTCAAAGACTCCCGTTGCTGTTGTTGTTAGGTGCCAATGAATCAGTTCTGACTCACAGCAATCCCATACAGGGTTTCTGAGAAGCCGCTGGTGGGTTTCAATCACCGATCTTGTGATTCAAAATGACTTTTCAGTCCAGTGCATATCCTACAGCATCACACTAGAGCTCCCCAAAAACTTTTAGGGTCCAGTAACCACTTTTGGTTTGAAAAAGGGAAGTAAGAACTTTCTATTCCAGCTGCTCCTCAGAAACCCTATACAGGGTCGTTATGAGTCAAAATTGACTTGATGGCACTTACTAATCCCCCATTCCATTTCTTAGTGGGTGACAAAAAGAAGCTCTCTTCCCAGAGAGATCAATACTAAGACTTTTTATATCAGCCCCCACAAAAATCCACTGAATTAAGATCCATTTCAAGTGGCTACTCTCCAGAACTTTATAGGTACTCAATAAGTACAGAACTGAGTTACTGCAGACTTGAGGGCTTTGATTTATAGAGCATCCTCTTCAGATCTTTGAGCTTAAGCCTCCTGAGGGGTCAACGAATTTCTGACCGGTCAAGCAATTCGTACAATAGATTTTCTTTCTTCAAAAAGGGTAAAGCAAAGTATTAGTCTTATGGGCAAAATATTGGTACTTATCACTTCAGTCTTAATATTAATTAATAGGGTAATCTTCATTCTAACATTTTGAATGCTTTTCAGAAAATATATTTGCAATATTAAAGATGTATTAAGGAAAAGAATCCCATTTCCCAGCAGGTAAAATACTACATAAAGTTAATGAAATGAAATGCAAGATATGGCCAGTGTTCTGCATGGCCCTATAAATAACCTAAATGGTGCTCAAATAGAGATTAATTTCAGCACCTTTCTGTTGGTAGTTTGGGGGTATGTTGTCAAAGGCCAGATCTTATTCAGCTGTCCAAACTATAAGCACAAGTATATCTGTGGAAAATAAAATCTATGCTCCTGTTATTAAGCGCCATCGAGTCGCTACCGACTCACAGCGACCTCATGCACCACAGAATGAAACACTGCCCAATTCTGGGCCAACCTCACTACCATTGCCACGCTTGAGTCCACTGATGCTGCCACTTGACCAATCCATCTCATTGAGGGTCTTCCTCTCTTTCTCTGTCCCTCCACCTTACCAAACATGATATCCTTCTCCAGAAACTGGTCTCTCCTGACAATATGTCCAAAGCATGAAAAACGAAATTTGGCCATCTTGGCCTCCAAGGAGCACTCTGGCT